AGAGAGAGAGAGGCAGAGGGAGAAGCAGGCTCCCAAGGAGCAGGGAGCCCGATGCAGGACTCGATCCCAGGACCCTGGGATCATGACCTGAGCCGAAGGCAGACGCTTAACCATCTGAGCCACCCAGGTGCCCTATCTGCTTAAATATTTAAAAACTAAAACAAAGTGTTTATGAACCACATGAAATTTGCTAACAGCACATTACAAATTCTTTGCTTACTGAATAATTATTGATGAAAATAAGAAAATTGTTAGCATATTTTGCCAGGACAATGGCCAGTATATTGTTTATAAATGGCTTTGCCCATTTCCATTAAGGTCATTGTCAATCTGTTCTTATTTTTTTTTTTTAAGATTTTATTTATTTGAGAGGGACAGAATGAGAGATGGAGAGCATGAGAGGGAAGAGGGTCAGAGGGAGAAGCAGACTCCCCGCTGAGCAGGGAGCCCGATGCGGGACTCGATCCCGGGACTGCAGGATCATGACCTGAGCCGAAGGCAGTTGCTTAATCAACTGAGCCACCCAGGCGCCCCCAATCTGTTCTTATTTTTAAGTTTATATCTGTGGCTAAATATTTAATTCAGCCTAGGAAATACCATCACAAATTTGCTATATTCTGAGATTCTTATTCTCTCTTACTAGTTTCACTTTCTTATGTTACTTGTCCTTCCCCTATGTCTGATAAATTGAAATACAACACAAAACAGTAAGGGGGATCATTCCAAAGAAAACTGCATTTTCACTTTTGGCATATCTTCTCTTTTTCACATTAGTCATACCGATGAAGTCAACAGTTTTGGGGACAGATTATATCTGGGCACTTTTGTTTCACAATTTAATGTAGAACACATCAGGTATTCCTTAGTACTTTTGTTTCTGTACTTTGCAATGATAATGCCATGTCTTAGCTTGTATAAGGTTCTGCAGTTTCCAAGCCACTTTTATCACTTATAATCCCACAATAGCCTTGGGTGGTGGAACTCACATTTACGTTAAAGAAAACGATGTTTTCAACACCATGAATGTGACAGATTTGGGACCACCAGTGGTATACTGGTCAATGTTTTACAACTGAATCTTAGAAGGTATGGAGAACCGTAATTGTAGAGTTTACCAATTTCCTTGAAGTAAATGCTCCCACTGTGGCCAATTCAACCTACCTGTGTCAATTGGCTCCTAAAAGTTCTGAAAACTTAACAAGTGGCTCTTGCAAACAAGAAGAAGCCAGCTCTAGCACACCCCCCAGTCACATTAAATTCGTTCCAAAAGTTTATGAAAACTTACATATGTGCCTGGTTTTCAGATTGGGATATCAAAATAGAAGATATGGATGTGCCAGTTTAGTTGGCATATTAAACCAAAAATGAAGCTATTAAATGGTAAATTGTGTGGTCTTAATTATAAATGCTCCTGGAGGGGCACCTGGGTGGCACAGTCAGTTGGGCCTCCAACTCTCGGTTTCTGCTTAGGTCATGATCTCAGGGTCGTGAGACTGAGCCCCATGTTGGGCTCCGCGCTCAGTGTGGAATTGGCTTAGGTTTCTCTCTCCCTTTCCCTCCACCCCCTCCCCCCTCAAAAAAATAAGTAAATCTTTTTAAAAAATTAAATGCTTCTGAATGTGATGATAGGTACGTTCTAAACTGGCCCTCAATGATCCCTGACTCCCAGTATTCACACCCTAATGGAATCCACCCCCTTCAGTGTGGGTAGAACTTGTGACGTTATTCCAATTTTCTTAACCAATGGAATATGATAATGGTGCAAAGCTGATGGGATGCCACTCCGTAATTATGTTATATTAGATTGTAACTTCTGGCTTACTAGCATACTCTGTTTCTGGGTTTGATGAAGCAAGATATGGCAAAGGACCTATGGCAAGGAACTAAGGCCCTCAGTCTAGTAGCTTGTAAGGAACTGAATTCTGCCAACAACCATGGGAACGAGGAAACAGCTCCTTTCCTAGTCACACCTTCAGATGAGACTGCAGCACAGGCCAGTATCTTGACTGTGGTCTTGAGAGAGACCCTGATACAGAGGACTCAGCTAAGCCATGTGCAAACTCCTGACCCACACAAATAGTGAGATAATAAATGTGTACTGTTTTAAGCAATTAAGTTTGTGTAATTTACCATGTACCAAGAGATAATACAGTCAGTGTGTGCTAGAGTATTGTCCTAGAGAATGTTATGTGGAATTATGGCTAGTATTGGAAATTGAATAAGATTTTTATAGTGTGAAGAATTGGGGGAGGGGCTTTGAGGGCATGCTGGGAGATAAGATTAGTTTGAAAGAGCAGGATCTATCAGGAGGGCACTTAAAAATTCATGTTTCAGCTAATACTGATTGAATACATTATGCCAAATACTTTTTTGGGGCAATGCTATACAGTTTTAAGCAAAGACAAACAAGCTTTTACATAGCTTAAAATCCGACAGAGACCTGACAATCAACAAATAAGTAAATACAAGAGAACAGTAAGAATTATGCAGAGAATTAAAGCAGAATGGTGTGTTAGGGAGTATCTACTTGGCTACTGCAGATTAGAAAGTAAGGAAAGGTGTGGTAGGCCTGGAGAATGGCCCCCACATCCATTCTCTCCCTGTTTCCTCTTAAGTAACAGAATCGGCCAAGTTTTGACCAAGGCAACTAACTACCCAAGTAGGAACCATATTTTCCAGCCTCCCTTGCAGCTAGGTGTGAACATGTGACTAAGTGAGCAGAACTGATATTGCAATTTCCAGGTCTTATTTTCATAAGAAAATTGTTTTTTCTGCATTTTCTCTTTTTCCTTTTTTTCCAGGCTGGAATATAGACAGATGTGGATGAGCTTTAATCATGTGAATGAAGATTGTATCCTGTGGTAAGAACAGGCGAGAAGGAACCAGGGTCCCTGTATGATCTCCCAAAGCAGAGCTGCCCACTCACCCTTTACCACCTCCCTGCCTCTGGATGTTATGTGAAAGAGAAATAAACTTTAACCTTTTCCTTGAGTTACTGTATTTGGGGGTCTCCTTGTTATCTTAGTTTAGCCTATGCCTTACTACTACAGGTGACCTCTCAGAGGCAGTGACATTTAGGCTAAGAGCTAAGTGAAAAGAATGAAAAAGCTATACAAAGTGGAGAGAGAGCATTTGAGACAAATGAAAAGGACCTAAAAAGAGAAAAGTCACTATGCCTAGGGCGTAGGGAGTGAACAATGGAGATGGGCTTGGAGAAAAATTAGTTAAGGACCACATCATGTAAAGGTTTGAAGGCTAAGGTAAAGAATTTTGCTTTTAAGTGTAAGGTGAAACCAGTGGAGGATTTTTAAATATTAAGGGAAGTGTCATAATTGGATTTATGTTTAAAAAAATCACTCAGGGGCGCCTGGGTGGCTCAGATGGTTGAGCGTCTGCCTTCGGCTCAGGTCATGATCCCAGGGTCCTGGGATCGAGCCCCGCATCGGGCTCCCTGCTTGGTGGGGAGTCTGCTTCTCTCTCTCCCTCTACTGTTCCCCCTGCTTGTGCTCTCTCACTCTCTCTGTCAAATAAATAAATAAAATCTTTAAAAAATAAATAAATAAATAAATAAATAAATAAATCACTCAGGCAGGGCTCCTGGGTGGCTCAGTCGTTAAGCGTCTGCCTTCAGCTCAGGTCATGTTCCCAGAGTCCTGGGGCTGAGCCCCGCATCGGGCTCCCTGCTCCACGGGAAGCTTCCTTCTCCCTCTCCCACTCCCCCTGCTTGTGTTCCCTCTCACGCTGTCTCTCTCTGTGTCAAATAAATAAATAAAATCTTTAAAAATAAATAAATAAAATAAAAAAATCACTCAGGCTTGCTCTGTGGTAAATCATCTGAGGGAGCCAAAGATATGTTTTGGACATATTAAGTTTAGCAAAATATTCAAATGAGATTAACTGACCAACTCAGTAATTAGTACAAGGGTCTTTGAGCCTCAAGATGGTAATGATGCGTAAGAAAAATAATATATTTTACAAAGGACCAATCCAATTGGTAGACACTATTTAAATTATCCTCTATCAAATTAACAAGGACTTACCTTGCCAAGATTCTTGGCACTTTTATATTAACTTAAATTGCATTGGGAAAAAGCATAATAGTAATTGAAAAGCAACTAATTATAAGCAATTATAAGCCAAATTATGTTTACACCACAATTAGCATTTGAGGTGGTTTAGTAGACAGATTCTTCATTTCAATAAGCAACCATCAAATAATTGAATAGCTTGTAAAACACGTAAATACTTCTTTTATCTTTATTCCAAGTATAACCGCCACATTCTCTTTGAATTATTATTATCATAAAATAAGCAACTTTTATCTTTTGTCCCAATTCCCAGTTTGAGTTGGATGCTTTTAAAAAAATGGCAAGAGTAGTCTATGTACCTACCACACAACATACCTTCTTTCAACAGGTTTCATGGAGAAATGTGAACAAATTCACATTCTTGTAAGACAAATACTACCCTGGAGGGAATCTAGAGTGCAAATTCAAACCACGTCTTTTTCACTAGGTTTTTCACGCTTAAAACATTATCTCATTTCACTTTCGGTTGAGGGAAGTCTTTCTCTATGGATGACAGGGAAAAAAGTCTTTTGTGTTGTGATAATGGTAATTTTTATGTCAGGCTGGGTTTTTTTCCTCCCATATTCCCGAGTAAAAGTCGTAACTTTGTTACCACAATTTTGCCACTGTTTGAAAACTGCGACTTGCCAACTATTTTACAGTTCACATTGATCACTTAAGTATTAAATTTATGGTTCTTTATTTTTTTAAATTCATGGTTCTTTAAATCACCACTAGTGATATGTCAGAATGCCTGTTATATGAATTTCCAAATTCTTCTGAAGCACGTGAGATGATATCACTGTAAATTGGGGGGGGGCTTTCAACTAGTTCATCAGTTTGAGAACATTCAAAGAAAAAAATTATCAAACAATTTCAGATTATATTTAATAAACCAGTGTCTACAAAGAGTTTTGCAAAATAAATTCCCACCAGTTGACCTAATCGAGGACGGAATTGCCAGCGCTTTCACGGCCGCTGCTGCACTCGGCCAACTCCAAGGCTTGGCGAGCCACATGGTGGGAGGTAGGTAGAGACGGAGCCCTCCAAGGCTGGGCGCCACGTTGCTTTTCTCTTTTAAAAAGGGAGACAACGCTTCTGGCTATTGTGTAAACGGGTCGAGAACTGCGTTTACTCGCACATCAGCTAAGGCACGAGCAGAATTAAAGTGCCTTCTAATCCGACCCTTAGCAACATGTGCGTCACGGACAAGTGTTGAGTTTTAATGCGTGGCTTCTTTCGCCTTGGGGAAACGCACTTCAGAGAATGGCCAAGTACCTCAGCAATCGCGGTGAACTGCACAGGATCAAAACCACCACGCCATCCCAGCAGTGGCCACCGCCCCCGCCGAACCCCGCCAACCCTTCCTAAGGATCCACCCATGTTCTCTGCTAATCAGTTGTTTAACGCAGCGCGCCACAGCCTTTCCTCACTCCTTTCCCGTTCTCCCCACCCATTCCGCATTCGACCCCAGGTTCCTAATCCCCAGCCGGACCACACAGCACCGTCTCCCGCCCAGGGGACAGCGCGAAGCCGAACCGCAGCACGGCGGGCAGCTCCCCGCGCTCCTGGCAGGCGGGCCGCCAGCCATCCGCAACTCGGCGGCTGCTGATTGACAGGCGGCCGCAGCAATGAGGCTCAGGGGCGGGATGTTGCGTCACTTCCTGGCCTTTCGGGGGAGATGGGGTATATAAATGCGGTGCTCACGCAGCGCCCTCGCTTCCACAGTATGGCCGGCGACATTAGCTAGCGCTCGCTCTACTCTCTCTAACGGGGAAACAGCGGACTACAAGAGACTGAACTGTATCTGCCTCTATTTCCAACAGACTCACGTTCAACTTTCGCTCACAAAAAAAAAAGCCGGGAAAATTTTATTAATCCTTTTTTTTTTAAAAAAGTTAATATAAAATTATAGCAAAAAAAGGAACCTGAACTTTAGTAACACAGCTGGAACAATCCGCAGCGGCGGCGGCAGCGGCGGGAGAAGAGATTTAATTTAGTTGATTTTCTGTGGTTGTTGGTTGTTCGCTAGTCTCACGGTGATGGAAGCTGCACATTTTTTCGAAGGGACCGAGAAGCTGCTGGAGGTTTGGTTCTCCAGGCAGCAGCCCGACGCAAACCAAGGATCTGGAGATCTTCGCACCATCCCCAGGTGGGTGCTGGGGGCTGTCGCCGCTTCGAAGGCATCAGCCACGGGCGGGGGCCGGGTTCTCGCAGCCTTCAGGTGGGGGCAGGTCTCCGGGCTGGGCTCGTTTCGGTGGCCGTGGAGGGGGCCCCGGTGCTGGGGGAGGGGGGGAAGCGGCCGCGGCCGCGTCCACGCGGGGCGCGAGCCGGCTCCTCCCGCCGCCTTTGCTGGGCCGGGCGCTGCCCGGGGGGAGGGGAGGAGGCCGGCGCGCCGCGTGCTCAGGTAACGTCTCCCGCGCGGCGTGCGGGGCGGCGGGCGGCGCCACTGGGGGTGGTTTGTGGGCCCGCGCCGTCCGACTTTCCCCTCCAGAGTTGGCGGTCCGGGGCCCCGGGTGGGGACGTTTTGGGGCCGCGCGGGCTGCCTCCCGGCAGGTGTGGCTCGACAGGCTTAGTCAGGCGCTAATTTGGGCGTGCCCGTCTCGGAGAGCGGGGAGGGAGGGAGCGAGTCTGAAGCCGGGCTCCTTCTCTCCGCGTGCTGCGGGAGGAGGGGGCTCTCCCGGTCTCGGACGGAGGGTCTGGCGCCCAGGCCTCCCGCCAGCGATCCGCGCTGGTAGCATGTGGCGCCCGGGCGGCGGGGATTGGGCGGGAGCAGTGTCGCAGTGGCTGGGCCCCACCGCCGCCTTAACGTGCTCTGCACCAAATCCTTTTCGGGGCGGCCCCGGGAGACGGCCGCGGAGCCCACCTTGGCTTGCCCCCCGAGACTCTTGACCTTGGGAGTGAAACCTGTTACCGCGTCGGCGGGTTCCGGGCGAGGTGCGGGGTGCTGGAAGGTTTGACTGCATTTACGGGCTAAAGGCCCGTCCGAGCCAGGACATAATACCTTTAGTGCCTAAGCCTGCAAAGGAATCTGGGGCCCCAGCCTCCCACCCCGGGCAGTCACGCGAGAGGGCTGGGCTGATCGGGCAGAAAAGGAGAGGTCTTGTGGTTTGGGGAAAACTAAGTGCAAAAGCGCAGGCGGTTACGAAGGTGCTGGGCCTTTCTCCGCGGCGCTCACACCGCTAGCCGCCCCTTGCTTTTCGGCGCACAAGTGCGGCGAGTGTGGCGGTGCGGCGGAGGAACCGGCGCGGTTGCCTCATTGAGGCGACGACCAATGAGCTCCGGGGCCCGACAGAGAGCCTGGCCCCAGGGTGTGGGCCAATGGGCGTTTCAGGAATGTAGGCTGCGCTCGCTGCCGTCCCTGACAAAAAGCAACTGGAGAAGGGAATCCAGGCGGACACGTGCTGCCGGGACTTTTAAGGCAGTATATCTATCTTGAAGGATTCTTCTGCTAGAAAGCGTCGTGTTAGCTAAAATGTGACAGGTCTCATTTTTCAAGCTTTGTGCGACACTTAAGATGTCTAACGTAGCCTTTTACTACGTGCCAGGCTGAGCTTTAAACATTTTATAGTATAGGAAGCAGTTACTTACAAATATGGGGAAGCTTAGTATTTCCTCCATTTCACAAAGGGGAAAACTCCGTGGTGGTGGTGGTGGTATGAGTCTAATGAAACCATTGTGATTAGATAATGTTAGAAAAATCCTGTCAGTGAAGAACTAGTGGGTGAGACGTATAAGGTGGATAACAAATTGTTTTGCTCTTGCTCTTTAAATGTTTGGAAACTTTATTTGTAAGCACACATTCTTAATAAAGGAAAAAGGGTTTTTCCTCCCTCCAAGTTCTTAGGGAAAAATACCAGAATTTAAGCTTGGGCTTTTCTCGTTGAGTTCCCTGAGTCGAAGGGGGGGGGGAGAAAGGCTCATAAAAGGGTAGCTTGCTTTCTTTAGATGCCTGAGAACCACTTTTCCTTTGTACTTTCGGCTGCTGAAATTGTTTTGCTCCCTTGGTGTGGCTCTTAAAATGATGGCAAAAGTTAAACCTTCAAGGACAGAATATTGAATTTTGTTCGTTATTAGTGCCACAGCGTTTTATAGACATTAAACATTAGTTAAAGCACTATTTTGAGAGTTTATATCACATTTCAGCTGTTGGAGGTAGAGCAAGGAAGAACTGAAAAATCTTCCATTTAGCTGAAGTCCATTGGCAACCTTGGTAGGAACTTTCCTCTGTGACCTGTCAAGCAAGGATGCACAGGTTAGGTTATTACTAGGAGGTAAAAATACGTGAAAAATAGTAGATGCTAGGTAAATCATCTAAAATCAGTGGCCTGGCCAGAGGGATCAATAGCTTCTGGTCTTTTGAGGAGTTGGGTGTTACGGGCTCCAGAGGAGGATTATAATCTAGAAGAGTAATGCGTAATGAAATGGTTAAGTAAGTACATTGCCTTGGAATATCTAAATTTGAATTCAGACAGCATTCAATAGCTAGCTGTTTGATATCTCCTCATTTCTAAAATGAAGACAATAGTGTACATACCTTCATAGGGTCATTGTGAGGATTAAGTGGGTTAATATATGTACAGTACTTAAGAAACTGACACACAGTAACCACACTGTAAGTATTATATCATCTTCTGGGGGGAGTTGTTTGTTTGCCTTTAGAGACCACACACCCCCTTTTTTCAGATTTTATTTACTTGAGAGAGAGCAAGCCAGAGAGAGCTTGAGCGGGGGGGCAGAGGGAGAAGTGGACTCTGGGCTGAGCAAGGAGCGGGACGTGGGGTTCAATCCCAGGACCCAAGATCATGATCTAAGCTGAAGGCAGACGTTTAACCTGCTGGGACACCCAGGCGCCCCTCCTTTTCTCCTTTTTTTAAGCAAACAAGCCTGGGGAAGAAATTGTCAAGATTGTAGTGTACAAGACTACATGTTAAAGGGTGTCCTAGCAATTTGCTGTATTTTTATTCGAGTAGAGAGTTTTAGATAGCATCATTATATTTTTATCATTACATAATTTATGAATATTTAATGATAAAAATATAAAAGCCAGAAAGTCCTTGCCTCCACACCCCCACTCAGTAATTCTATTAAAATGCAACTAAAGTCATAGAGGACATAACAGACTGGATTAAAATAAACAAGTAAATAAATTTCACTGTTTAAAAAACATAATAACCTAAGGTCATGGAAAGGATTAAATGTGAGAAGGCACAAATGTCCTAAGAGGGCCTTGCTATAGATGCTAGACATTAAAAAAGTTGTTAAGGGAAAATGCCCCCTTGTACTTTTTTCCAGTTACTATCCTACCCTCTCCTCCGAACTTCTAACCACTATAGATTAGTTTTCCCCATTTTTGAGCTTTAAATAACATGGAATCATTTAGTATGAATCATTACATAAGGCCTCTTTTGGTCAGCCTTATGTTTGACATTTTGTGTAGTGTTTTGTGTCAGTGTACACAATTTTTCATTCTATTGTTAATGGGTATTTGAGTAGATTACAGTTTGCTATTACAAATATATTGCTGTGAACACTAATACGTCATTTAGTGAACAGTATGCTTTTCTGTTAATAAACATCTAGGAGTAGAGTTGTTATAAGGTGTGCATATGTCCAGCATGAGGGTGCTAGTTGCTCCATATCTTCATCCAACACTTGGTATTATCTTTTTAATTTTAGCTATTGTGGGTGTATAAAAGTATGTACTTCCCATCGGACTAATGGAGTTGAGCATCCTTTCATGTCTTAATTCGCCATTTGGATATCTTTTGTGAAATGCCTATTTTGGAATGCCTTTTCAGTTTGTAGGAGTTCTTTATATATTGTGGATGAATTCTAATATGTGTATTACAGATATTTTGCACCCTCAGTGGCTTCCCCTTTTGTTCTATTAGTAATAGCTTTAGAAACAGAAGTGCATAGGTTTTGTGTTTTGGGGTGTTTTTGTTTTTTTGTTTTTTAAGATTTTATTTGAGGGGCGCCTGGGTGGCTCAGTCGGTTAAGCGTCTGCCTGCGCCTCAGGTCATGATCCCAGCATCCTGGGATTGAGCTCCGTGCTCAGCAGGGAGCCTGCTTCTCCCTCTCCCTCTGCCTGCCTGCTTGTGATCTCTCTCTCTCTGTCAAATAAATAAATTCTTTAAAAAGAGAAAGATTTTACTTATTTGAGAGAGAGAGAGCATGGGCGGGGGGGGAGGGGG